AAAGAACATGTTAAGAAGTTGTACCGAAATTTGTTTGGTGAGGTTGTCCTTTGAAACTGACAAAACCTCTCAGCTGTCAAACTACATCAGCGATCTTTGAGAAGGATAAAATTTTAATTGTGGAGTTATTGATTAAAAAACGATAGAGAACTTACCCAGTTGTCTACCTCAGAGTCCTCCATGGTCATTGAGGGTAATAATTTGCCTTTGCTGTTTAGCACAGGGCCTGCCTGGTTTTAGAAGATCCTGTGGATTAGGAAATCTGTAGGAAGACAAGCCTACCTCAGCCTGAGCAGCTAGGCAGTCACTCCATTTGAATCTTTGTCCACTTCTGGAGATCTTCAGTTTAGATGAAAGGCAGTTCGCACAGTGGTTAGTGCTTTCACTTGATGAAGTGAACTGCTGATGACGTTGTTCTGTGCCCATCTGTCTTCTGTTTTCTTTGGAGGAAATAGAGTGCTGCTGCTAGGAGCTAACCTGTTTTTCTGTTATGAAAAAATCTTTCAATAATTAAACATTTAAATGCCATGTTCCCCAGATCTTTGGGCAGTCGAGGGCTATTTATTCGGGTATAGATAAGTTATAATACACTAGGCCAGCAAATTAAAACACAGAGTATTTTTTTTTCTTAAGTTTTTTTGGTGGAATCGGGAAATAGTGGGGCATGTATGATGCCACAGCATTCGGAGGCCAGAGGACAACTTGTGGGAGCAGGTTCTTGCTTTCCACCATGTTAGTTTCTGGGATTGAACTCAGGTCATCGGCCTTGACAACAAGCACCTTCACCCACTGAGCCATCTCACCCTCATCTCAACATCTCAACAGTCAAGTTTTAATAACTCCTTGGCGTGATGGCCTACACCTTTACTCCCAGCACTCAGGAGGCAAAGGCAGAAGGATCTCTGAGTTCAAGGCCAGCCTGTTCTAAAGAGTGAGTTCCAGGACAGCCAGGGCTGTTACACTGAAAAACCCTGTCTCAAAAAACAAAAACAAACAAAAACCCAAAAACTCCTATTGTGATTTTTTTTTCTCTATTTTATATGGCTTACTTATTTTTGTTGTTGTTACAGTACTTTTTACTTGTCTTGTTTTCTCTAACATTTTATTTGCTATCAGTTTTTGCCATAAGAATATAAGATTAGCAAGGGTATGGACTTTTTTTTTTCTCACTATTTCCTACTTGTGTATTAAATGTTTTGTTTTTGGGCTGGAGAGATGACTCATAGTCAGGGAGTACTGACTCCTTTTGCAGAGGACCCAGATTCAGTTCCCAGCACCCTCTGAGGGATGCTCACAATCACCTGTAACTCAGGTTCCAGAGGATCTGGTCCACTGTACAAGGGTACATCCACACCCGTACATGCTTCCACAGGCACACATACATTGCACATTCATATATTTAGGTAAAACATTCATACACGTAAAATAAAAATAGATACATCTTATTTTAAATATGCTATCGTGTTCCTGGCTTATATCAGACATTGATGGCTAGATGAGTGTATAGCATCATTTCTCAAAATACAGTGTCCTGAGCAGCTGAAACACCATCAGGTGGATCAGGAAGGAACTTGTTAAAAGTTGCAAGTTCTTGGTGTATACCCAAAACCTACTGAATCAGGAATTTTCAGAATGGGGACCAGCTCTCTGTTTTAATAAAATCTCCAGGTGAGTCGGGCAGTGGTGGTGCACGCCTTTAATCTCAGCACTTGGGAAGCAGAGGCGGGCGAATCTCAGTGAGTTCAAGGCTAGCCTGGTCTACAAAGCAAGTTCCAGGACAACCACAGCTGTTAAACAGAGAGACCCTATCTCGGGGGTGGAGTAATAAAAGCTCTGATAACCCAGAAATTTGAGGATTTCAGTCTGGCACAATGATGAAGTGTGGTTCACTAAGCCAGACTTGAATTGGACTACTGGCTTCACCCATTTGTATGACTTTAGCACATTAGTTAAATTCTTAATCTCATCTGAAATTGGAATAATATCCACTTTATAGAATTTTGAGGCTAAATGAGCTAATTTATACCAAAACATATTGGACTTGGAAGGATTCGGTAACTGATGGTTCTCTTCCTCCTAGCTCTAAACACTAACTGTAGTTGGTTTCATGAGAATGAACTTCATTGACTTGATTTTTATTCATTGATTGGCTTTTGGCTTTTGTTTTCTTTTGTTGTTCATGTTTCTTTCATATCGAGATGGAAGCTAGGAAGTGAACTAGCCTAGTTAGCATCACTGTCAACTTGACACAGTCTAAAATTACCTGGAAAAAGAGTGTCAGTTGAATAATTTTCTCTATCAGGTTGGTTTGTGGCCATGTCTGTGAAGGATTGCCTTGATTAGTAAGTTCACACTAGAATACTCAGCCCAGTATGGGTAGCCCTGTCTCTGGGCAGGTCCTAGGCTATATAAGGAAGCTGGCTGAAATTAGCCTGAGCTAGCCATGAGTGAGCCGACGAGCAGTGGTCGTCCATGTTTCTGTGCCCAGCTCCTGCTTGGGTTCCTGTCTGACTTCCCTCACTGCTCTGACTGTCCTGGAAGGATAACGTGAAGTAAGCCTTTTCTGTCCCTGAGTTGCTTTATGATAGGGTGTTTGTCATAACATAGGGTGTAATTAGAGCAGGAATACTTAGTGCTTATAAAATAGTAAGATGATATTTAAAAAAAAATCAACAACTGGCCTCAAACTCAAACTATCTGCCTCTGCCTCAAGTGTTCTTTTTTTAAAATGACGATTGAACCTTAAGGTGCAAGTACCCTTCCACTGAGTTATACCTTCTGCTCAGTCAGTCAGACCTTGAGTTTAGGATCTTTCTCTTCCAGCCTCCAAAGAAGTTGAGATTACAGCCAGTCAACCCAGCCTTGCTTTTTAAGACAGGGTCTCATGCGTTCAGCTTCCTTGGCACATTTTGTTTGTTTGAGATGTCTCCTGTGTAGGCCTGTCTGGCCTGAACTCCAGTGGGCCTCAGCCTCCAGAGTACCTTCAGGATTATACCTAGGAAAATCAAGGGACATTTTGTTGTCTTTTTGCCATCTCTTTGTCCTATTCTTAGCAGTTGGAAACATAAAATGGTTCGATTGAGTCCCATCATTTTTATTTCATTATAATCCAGTGTTCTAATTCTTGTCTAAACACATGAAATTCACAATATAGTAACATTATATATTTTTCCCCCATTTAGGATTTCGTATGGCCCTCATATCATTCCTTTCCATCTTTGCCAAGATTTGGATACTGCCAAAACCTGTGTTTGTGGAAGATTTTGTCTAGACTCTTTCATTCAAGGAACTACTACAATTAATCTACACTCTGTTGCCCACACCGTGGTCTTAGTAGATAATGTGGATAGAATGGAAGCTCCTATTATCGCTTACTTTTGTTCTCTAACTTGTTATGTGAATTCTTCTGATATGTTAAAATAATTAGTTAATAACAAAAAGTTTCTTAGATGTAGATGGTTGATTATTTGTGTTTTAACAGTAACAAATTGGAGAAAGGGAAGCTTTTTGTATATTTTCATGGAGGAGAAAATATATTTATCTTCAACCATTTGACTCTGGAATTTAAATTTAAAACTTAACTTTTGGGGGGTGGATTAATACTCGGCACTTAAGAGCAAATACTCTCTTGCAGAGAACTGGGGTTCTGTTAGCAGCACCCACATTATGGCTCACAATTGTATGTACAATTGTGTATGTACAAATTGTTCCAGGGAATTCAATGCCCTCTTCTGACCTCCAGGGACACCAGGCATGCATGAGGCACATACATATATGCAGACAAAATACTAAATGAATCTTTAATCTTATTGTGAAGCTAACAGATTTATGATTGCAGTGGTTTCTGTGCTGTAATCACCCCACCCCCATCGTGGATCAAAGCCAGGGCTTTGTGTGTGAGCATAGCTCAGGGTTTGTTTTGTTTTGGAGCCTGGCCTCTAGCAATTGTAAACCAGGCTGGCCTTGAACTCAGAGATCCACCTGTCTCTGCCTCCAGAGTGCTGGGATTTAAGGTGTGCACCACCACCACCCAGCTCATTTTCTTTTTTTAAACAAATCTTTTTTAATTTTTTTTATGTGCATTGGTAACTTTGCTATGGGTGTCGGGTCCCCTGGAAGTGGAGTTACAGACAGTTGTGAGCTGCCATGTGGGTGCTGGGAATAGAACCCTGGTCCTTTGGAAGAGCAGTCAGTGCTCTTAAACTCTGCTGAGCCATCTCGCCAGTCCTTGCCACATCTTTTTTATTTAACAAAGTAACAAAGTTAAACAGATACTTATTCCAATCACATAGATCGTAAGAATGTTCTTGCTCTCAACAGGGCAAGGTGTTTGTTGCAAAGCCTGACATCTAAGTTTGATCCTTGGCACCCACATGCTAGGAGAAAACAGATTTCTGCAAGTTGCACATATGCATATACAATAACTTCTACAAAATAGAGTAAGACAACTGAGGTGAAGAGCACTGGTTGCTCTTCAGAAGACCACCAGTTCCCAGAACCTACATGGTGGCTCACTACTGTCTATAACTCTATTCCCAGGGACCTGAGGCCCTCTTCTGATGTCCTCAGGCATAGCACAAACTTGGTGCATAGATATATATCCAGATAAACACCTTGAACTCAGAGATCGCTGCCTCTGCCTCTTGAGTGCTGGGATTTAAAAGTGTGCACCACCGCCACCTGGCTGAGGATTAAATCTTTCCCACCTGTTCTGTGAAATGAGCGACATATCCACAATATATATGTTTTGTGCCCATTATTTAGCAGTCAATTGTATTATCTCTGTATACTTCTTGTGGGGCAGCAAGTAGAGTGCATGCCTAACCTAGCATACAGGAAGCCATGGATCCAATCCAACAGAGCACCAGAAACACAGGGTATGGTGCAAATTCTTGTAATCCTAATACCCAGGAGGTAGAGACGGACCCTATCACTAAGCACCACATTTAAAACAACCCTCAATATGCAATTGTTAGAATCAAAACAGCACAAGGCTTAGGTATCAATAACAATAACTTTTATTTTCTAACAGGTAACTTTCCTGCTGCTTCAGCATTTTCCTCTCAGAAAACCCAAGTTTTAGAACTGGATCACTTGGCCCTTTCTCTTCTTGTCTCCTCCCAGTTCAAAATGCTTGCATCTCTTAATGGCCAGCATCCTCTTGGACCTGCAGTTGGGCTCCACACACTCAAGCCTGAGCACGATCTTCTTTGTGGTTTTGGCCTTCTTCCGGAAAATTGGCTTTGTCTGCCCACCGTAACCACTCTGCTTCCGATCGTAGCGCCGCTTCCCTTGGGCGTACAGGGAATCCTTGCCCTTCTTGTACTGGGTCACTTTGTGAGGCTGATGCTTGCCACATTTCTTACAGAAAGTCCTTCGAGTTTTGGGTACGTTGACCATCTTTGCAGTAGAGCGTCTACCCGATGGAAACTGTAATTTAAAAAAAAAGATTCAGGCATAGACTCTGAATTGTTAAAGTTTTAAAAATATAATTTTTAGGAATTTATAAAGACAGTCATCAAAAATGTGTAAGGCTGCTGGGCGGTGGTGGTGTGCACCTTTAATCCCAGGCAGAGGCAGGAGGGTCTCTTGAGTTCAAGGTCAGCGTGGTCTACAGAATGAGTTCCAGAACTGGCTTCAAAGGTAGAGAAACCCTGTCTCGGGTGTAGGAGGGAGAAGGTATGTGTAAACCCACCAAGTACTCATTTTCCACATGAATACACGGCCATGCCCGGGTACACCAGTTTGAATGCCTCAAGTGCGAGGCTGGGCACGAAGCTCAGTTCTGAAGCTTGCTTATAGGGCTTAAACAACCTAGGTTCAAACCCCAACACTGCAAGCCTAAACAAAAACTAGCTTTTGAGACACACTGCAAAAGCACACTTGACGGACGATGTTCTGAACTCCACATAGAAATCCTGTCTCCAAAGGAAACTAAGACATCGGACACGTGGGGTCCGGGGAGGGGCCAGCTTCTTTCAGACTACCCCACACCGACTCCGTTTTCTGGCTCGTGGCTATCTATGACTGGCGGAGTTCCTGCTACGGCCCGCCTCGCTCTCCCGAACCACGTCGGTCCGCCTCGCCTTTACCCCTCTACCCGTCACGCGCCAGCGGCCCCGAAGGCTGACGTGTCGTTAGCAGCCCGCGTGTCCCGCGGCCCGGGAGCCGCCATGCTGGAGCGCTTCTTCCGAGAGGGCCGCAGGCTGTTGACCTCGGCCGTGCCGGGCAGCGCTCGCCCGCTTCCCGCGACGACCGACCCAAGCCCGGCCGACCCCTGCGTCGGGAGCCCCGGTCCCAGAGCAGCCAGCTCCCGCTCAGCACCAGACTTACCGAGAAGAGCCGGGGTCCGAAACCGCCGCCACCACCGCACGAGCCGGACGGGAAAGGGCCGAGGCGAGCGGAAATCGGAACTGGGTCTGAGCGACGGGACCACGAGCCAATAGGCGGCGGCCGCCTCCGGAGACCCGCCTCCGGACGCCCCTGGGAAGCGCCAACCAGCGGCCGGCGGGGCGGGGTGGAGGGTGTGGGCCGGAGGGCCCGGGCGCTCGCGGGGCCAGTCGCGGCTTGTCAGAACGGTCGCCGGCGGAGCGGGGCGAGGCTGCGGCGCTCGGTGGCGGCGTTCGGCCGCGCAAGCGAGGATGAACTCACGGAGGACGCAGGGCCGCGGGCAGCGCAGGTAACGGAACCGGGGTGCGGCGGCCGCGGGCTGGCTTTCTTCCGGGACCCGGGCTGCTGAATGGAGAGGACCGAGGCGACGCTGAGCCGCGGCTCGTAGCGGCGGGGCGGCTGCCCGAGCTGCGACTGCCAGAGAGGATGTGCGGAGCCTGGGCGGCGCGAGGCAGTTGAGAGCCGTCGGGCCCAGGCCGCCGGGGCCCGGGATGAGTTAGCGAGGGCCGCCGCGGGGGCCAGTTCCTAGGGCTGCAGGCCAAGGCGACGGCGCCGCCCGCCCGCCCCTTCCGTGCAGAGGCCGCCAGCTCCTTTCCGCGCCCGCGCTCCCAGCCCTGGAGACCATGAGGTTCCGCATCTACAAACGGAAGGTGCTAATCCTGACGCTCGTGGTGGCCGCCTGCGGCTTCGTCCTCTGGAGCAGCAATGGGCGACAAAGGAAGAACGACGCCCTTGCCCCGCCGCTGCTGGACGCGGAGCCCCCGCGGGGTGCGGGCCATCTCGCCGTGTCCGTAGGCATCCGCAGGGTTTCCAACGAGTCGGCGGCTCCTCTGGTCCCCGCGGCTCCGCGCCCGGAGGTGGACAACCTCACGCTGCGGTACCGGTCCCTGGTGTACCAGCTGAACTTTGATCAGATGCTGAGGAATGTCGATAATGACGGCACCTGGACTCCCGGGGAGCTGGTGCTGGTTGTCCAGGTGCACAACCGGCCGGAATACCTCCGGCTACTGCTGGACTCGCTTCGAAAAGCCCAGGGCATTAATGAAGTCCTGGTGATCTTTAGCCATGACTTCTGGTCCGCAGAGATCAACAATATGATAGCTAGGGTGGATTTCTGCCCTGTTCTGCAAGTGTTCTTTCCGTTCAGCATTCAGCTGTACCCGAGTGAGTTTCCGGGTAGTGACCCCAGAGATTGCCCCAGAGACCTAAAGAAGCACGCCGCTCTGAAGTTGGGGTGCATCAATGCCGAATACCCTGACTCCTTCGGCCATTACAGAGAGGCCAAATTCTCGCAAACCAAACATCACTGGTGGTGGAAGCTGCATTTTGTGTGGGAGAGAGTCAAAGTTCTTCAGGATTACACTGGCCTTATCCTTTTCCTGGAAGAGGACCACTATCTAGCCCCAGACTTTTACCATGTCTTCAAAAAGATGTGGAAATTGAAGCAGCAGGAGTGTCCTGGCTGTGATGTCCTCTCCCTAGGGACCTACACTGCCAGTCGGAGTTTCTATGGCATTGCTGACAAGGTAGATGTGAAAACTTGGAAATCCACAGAGCACAATATGGGATTAGCCCTGACCCGAGATGCCTATCAGAAGCTGATCGAGTGCACAGACACTTTCTGTACTTACGATGATTACAACTGGGACTGGACTCTTCAGTATTTGACTGTCTCCTGTCTTCCGAAATTCTGGAAAGTCTTAGTTCCTCAAGCTCCTAGGATTTTCCATGCTGGAGACTGTGGTATGCATCACAAGAAAATATGTAGGCCGACCACCCAGAGTGCCCAGATTGAGTCATTCTTGAAAAATAACCAACAGTACCTGTTTCCAGAAACTCTAGTTATCAGTGAGAAGTTTTCTATGGTAGCCATTTCCCCACCTAGGAAAAATGGAGGGTGGGGAGATATTCGGGACCATGAACTCTGTAAAAGTTATAGAAGACTGCAGTGAAAAAAAATCACCGTTGCGAAAGTGACAGTCTTCTCCTTTTTCTATTTCTCTCAGAGGGATGTACAACTGAATAGAGGGTATAGGAACTGGTTTCTGCTTTAATACATACATTTCTTGTTAAAGGTGTCCAAATACATAGTAATCCTTTTCCGTTATGTCTTGATTAAAATTTCAAACTGAAATTTTCATTTTGGGATTTGGGTTTTAAAATTCAGTCTGTATCTGCTTAAGGGTAATGATTCGATTATTATTGATTAAAAAAAGAAAATTTTATTTAAATCGCATCTGTTAATCTTTTTATCTAAAACTTTGTAGTATACGTTTCCACTTTCAGAACTTATTTTAAGTACAGCAAGGTTTATTTAAAAGTGTCCCAGCAGTAACAGTATTTGAGTGGACGGAACCGTTAGAGCTCTGCTGGGACGGCTCTTAGGAAGGAGCTGCCTGACGGCTTCAGAACTCAAGTTCCGTTTGTTCAGCACCCTGTCAGAAGTCATTTCAGTGTTACTGATTCCTGTGCTGTTGTTACGGTTTGCCTGTGCTTTCGGCCTTCATACTACACGATTTCTGTTGGAATGTATTTGGTTAATAAGAAAGTTTAAACACTGTTTTCACCTCAATGTAGAAATACAGTGGTTTTGATTTTTATTTTCCTTTCTAGTGCTGCCAAAATAAAATACTCATTTTTGCATAAACTATTCCCTAGTCATTTTGCAGAATGTTGTATTTGTACCAGTAAAGGCATTCTAGAAGTTTTGAGCATGAGCATCGTAGCTCAGTTTTTACTAACTATGCATTATATGAATCTAAAATGAAGCTGGCTCGTGACAGTGCATTCTCTCAGGAAGAAATTGTTTGGCTTTCAGATTAGTCAGGCATAGATAATGAACAATAAAAAAAAAAAAAAACTGCTGCATAAGGGAAATACTGCCTAAACTGTTTTTTTGAAGGCCAGAAATGATACAAAGTTCAGTCTTGCCAAGGTGCAGCAGGTCTGGTGCCAGCTGTGACTGAGATACTTTTAAAAGAACAGGCACAGTACCAGGGAGCAAGCTTTAGATTTACTCCATATTTTTATATTACTTTTCCATAATGTAATTATATTCAGCCAAAAGTTAGAAGACTCGTTGAACCAAAGCCTCAAAAATTACTTTTCATCAGTTTTGTACTAGAAATGGATGTTCTCTTTAAAGGTGAGGCATAGTTGTGTGGTTTTGTATTGCCCGTACCTCTCAATCTATCAATGTCTTTTTAAATGTTTTACCACATTTGTTTCCCATGTGCACATGTATGGTTGTACACGTGTGTATCCAGTGTGCATGCTGAAGGTCAGAGGGTAAGGGTCAACTACAGGTGCTTGGCTGTGCTACCCACTGAGCTATCTCACTTTCTTCTTTGCTTGTTTAAAAGATTGGTTTGTGTGCACGCTCTGGCTGGCCTTGAATTTGTAACCCTTCAGTCTTTAGCTGGGATTACAGAGCCTCGTGCGTGCAAGGCAGGGACTACCCGGTACATGGTGCTGCCTTTGTATAGGGAGCGATGTGTGTCAGTCTCCTGCCCTGCTATCGCCAGTTCAAAGGACTAAAGGAAGTAGACGTTTCCAGGAGTGTTCGAAGGTTGCTCGTAATTAGCAGCCTTGTCTGAAACAGAGATACTTAAGTTCATGGCCTTGGGACCAGTAATGACATCAAGAGAGATTTTCTTTTCTGTGTTCTTTCATCCTGTTCTAGATATTGTGTGTGTGTGTGCGCGCGTGCGGTGGAGGGAACCTGTGATGGTCTCCTCTACCACATTTTAAGAGTTATAAATTGATTCCAAAATAATGGTTTCTCACGTAAAAGACATTTTTTTGGTAGAACAAATGGCTAGGTTTTTATTAATTTCTGTTGTAAGGATTTTTAAGTCATTTTTATATGTATAGGTATTTGTCTGTATGCTTATCTGTGAACCACCTGTGGAGACCAGCGCAGGGACATTGGATCCTCTGGAACTGGAGTTACAGACAGTTGTAAGCTGCCACATGGGTGCTGGGAATTGAACCTGGGTCCTCTAGGAAGAGCAGCCAGTGCTCTTAACCACTGAGCTGTCTCTCTAGCCTCTCTAAAAAAAAAAAAAAATCTTAAACGCAATTATTTAAAATTAATTTTGAAAATGATCATGTTTGAAAATTTCTAACTTTGGGCTAGAGAGATGGCTCAGCAGTTAAGAGCACTTGACTGCTTTTCCAGAGGACCTGGGTTCAATTCCCAGCATCCGTGTGGCAGCTCCTAGCTGTAACTCAAAGATCTGACACCCTCACATGAATGTACATGCAGGCAAAACACCAAAGCACATAAAGTTAAAAAAAGCTTATATGTATTGATGTTTTGCCTACATTTATATATATGCTTGTGAGCTATAATGTAGGTGGTGGGAATCAAACCCCAGTCTTCTGCCAGAGCAAGTATCCCAAACTCAGCCGTCTTTCCAGCCTCCAAAGTTTTGAGGCAGGTTCTCTCTGCAGCTCTAGCTGTCTTTGGACTTCCACCTACCTGAAGCTGGAGAGTATTGGGATTAAAGCCATGCACCACCACACCTGATCTTAAGATATAGTTTTTAATTATATTTTTATGTCTGTATATGTTTCGTGTGTGCGCACAAGTTTGTGTGCCACAGTAGGTGTGCAGTCAGAGGGAAACTTGCAGAAGTAGGTTCTCTCCATCCGAGTAGTACCAGCAATTGAACTCAGGTTGTCAGATTTGGCAGTAGGTACCTTTATCTGCTGAGCCATCCAGCCATTCCCCCAAATTATTTTCACTCATATATGTGACACTTATATGAAAATATATAATTGGTACCAAAAAAGTAACATAAAATTAAACACAAAAGCCAGTATGTACTTGTAATACAACTATGTAGTTTTGTTTTGCATTTCAAGACAGTGTTTCTCTGGGTATCCCAGGCTGCCCTGGAACTAAGATCTGCCTGCCTCTACCTCCCGAGTGCTAGCCTGTACCACCATCGCCTGGCTCAAGTATGTATTTTAAAGGTCTGGCCTGCTTGTGCATGCCTAAAATCCCAGCACTCAGAAACTGAGGCAGGAAGACTGTCACAAGTTGGTGCTAGCCTGACTACAGGGAGTAT